TAAAAGTTGGTAGAAATCATCTATTTCTTCTTCTTTGGCTCTGGTTGTTGGTCCATATATCTGAATGATAGTGGTATTCACTGGACTTCCTTGTAAGCGTATGGATATGATCCTGTCACTCACGATGTTGTACTTCAAGATGGATCTAGAAATTACTTTTTTTTACTATGAAGGCAACCCCATTTTTCCTTGTCTTTTCATCTCCAGAGTATCATCGTGCTACCAATTAGCCTGGTGGTGACAGTCTTTGTTTTCTTGATGTTGAACTGCAGTCCATATTGAAGACTGTAGTTTTTGAATTTCTTCATCAAATGCTTCATTCTGGTCTTCCTCATTTTCTCCGTGCAAGGTTATGTCATCAGCAAATCGCAGGTTTTTGATGAGTCTTCCTCCAATCATGATGCCACTTTCCTCTTCATAAAGTCCAGCCTCTCCCTTGACCTGTTATGGATGTAGATTTAAAAGGTATAGAGAAAGAAGACATCTCTTGCACACTGATTTCTTGATTTTGAACCCTAAAGTGTTTCCTTTTACTGTCTGATGATTTCTTTCTGGTCTAAGTATAGGTCGGTTTCACTTGGGCACTTACTTGTGTTCTGGGAATCCCATTGCTTTCAATGTTAGTCACAATTTTTTTGTGATCCATACAATCAAATGCCTTTGCATGGTCTATAAAACACAAATACCTTTACATAGTCAACAAAAGCCAAGTGCACATTTTTCTGGTTTTCTCTTTCAATTTTTTTTGTTGTTGTTGTTTGGAATGATAAAATTTCTTTTTTCCTTTATCTTGGCATTATTTTTCTTCCTGACTCCACATTATCCTAGAACCAACCATGTTGATAAGATTTTTGCCTGATTCATACTGACCTTTCAGGCAGAATTAGGGTGACTGGGATGTCCTACCTTTGTCTTGGAGACACATGCAATCTATGTTTTCTATAATTTACTTTAATATGTAGTATTGATGGTAAAAATTGCTACCTTTAAATTGGTAGTGCTAAACTGCTTTAGTCAACCATAAATTAAAAGTGGAATCATTGACATTCATTTGCTTTTCCTCGTAACAAGAAATTATCAGTAATTGATCTTATTCATTGTTGTGCTTCCTCCAGTGTTTTTTCCAAGGCAGTAAATCACACAGGTGGAGATTGCCCATCATTCTCCTTCTGAGCCACTGGTGCTTTCAGACCTGTAGAAAGTAATCACTTATGATTTAGCATTGCATTTCCCTACAGATTACACCTCTACTACTCCCTGTGTGCCTACGAAGTGATTGAAAAATACCATGATTTGAGCCAGGTATGATTCTAACTCTTAGGATTCCATAGGACAGAGTATTTTCCTAGAATACTTTACTGGAGGAGACTGCTTTGCCTTTCTTCCTTGGAGCAGCTGGTAGTCTAACCACTGTTCTTTGAGCTAGCAGCCCAAACTGTAAAAAGCAGGGCCATCAACACTCCTTTTTAGCATAGAAGGGCACTGGAATTGAATTCACTAATCTTGTGAGTCAGATTGCATTGAACTTTGATGTTCTGTGGTATACAATTTTGTTAACTTTTTCATTCTCTCTTTTTTTTTAACTTTTGCATTCTTATATTGTTCTTTTTATGTTATAGGTTAATTACAATGAAGATTAATTGCTAACTTTGTATAGTAAAGATCTCATTTTCATTTTTTATAGCATTTATTGTTCTTATTATCTGCGTGTCTGCCTTTTTCTCTAGATAGAAGATCCATATGGACTGAGATTGTTTTACTCACTGTTCTATACTTACTACCTAAAACAATAGCTGACACATATTCAGTTTTCAATGGATGTGTGTTGATGTTCTCAAAGTGTTACTATGTGAATTAATCTATTTGACTCATTATCATTGAAACGGAAAAATTCCTTCTTACTACACATGATCAAGTTTCATGGTAGACTTTAGAGAGCACTATGCTGAGTTAAATAACTTAGTCACATAAGAACAAATACTACTACATAAGAGAGGATTACTGAACAAAAAAATATATATAGATATATAAATGTTCAAAAGAGGAAGTTGGGAGAAGCTGGGGCAGAAAAACGGGAAGAGGGAAAACCAATAGGATAGCAGGAGTTAGTAGGTGGAGAAGAGGTGAAATAATTGCAAAGATTCAATGGTGACTTGAAAAAATAAGGTGATTATAGCCATAGATTAACAAGAGTTAATTATATAAAATCCAGTGTATGTCAATGATTATATAAAACATATGCATATGAATGAAACACAATATGAATTATTTTATTCAAATGAATAATTTTTTTTAAAAAAAGGAATGGAGATATAGAGGAAGAACTACTTGAGGGAAAATAAATGAAACATTTAATTAATTTTTAAAATTATATTAAGATTTGACACTGAAAATCCTGTGGTACAAAATTCAACTAAGAGGAACATGCTCAAATCTTTTTAGGCAAAATGTATGTTAAGTAAAAACAAATGATTAGTTCTGAATAAAAGTTTGTTGTAAATAACTAATTCACTGTTTTGCTGTTGGTATGCAGAGGGGACATAATTTAGAAATTTAACTTCTTATTCAAGGAAGTCTGCTGGAGTGAAGGACTCTCTTGGTTATTCATGTATACTTAGCCCTTAGCACAATTCCTGGTACCTGGAAGTAATGCCTGTAGTAATCACAATTATTTTAGCTTTCTTATTAACATGTATTGCTGTGTACTTTACCACTTACTGTAGTTTTTATATGATGATGCTACTTATGTTATCTTGATTTTTAGGTAGACTGGGGTCAGCTGGATTATTTAGTTGTTGATATGCCACCAGGAACTGGAGATGTGCAGTTGTCAGTCTCTCAGAATATTCCCATTACAGGTAAATCTTAAGAGTTTAATGTAATTGTGCTTTTCTTGGCATTTTGTTGCTGCTATACAGAAAAACAAGAGAGGTAAGCATTTCTTATGTCTTAAAAGACATAATAATTTATAAATTGTGCTTATACTTTACAATAATAAAATCATCCATTAGTTATAAGAAGTACAAATTATATCATTCAAAATAGTTCTGAAATAAATATACACAAGATTTTTTTTATTAAATTTTATTAGTTTTGATGAACATTTACAGGGATTTTGGGTTTTCATTCCTTCATTGCTGCACCTATACACAAGAATTTAAAGGCATTTGCATTGTGGTTTCAATTGTGAACTCAGTATATGCATAGTGAATCCTAACCCCTATCCCATGGATGTAATTCCATTTAGGAAAAGAACTTGATTTTGTTATGTTGTTATTGTTGTTATATGCTATTAAGTCATAACTAATTCATCGCTAACCCTCCTGCAAGTTTTCATAGGCTGTAAATTGCATGGGAGGCGATTGCCTTCCTTCTCCCACAGAGCAATGGTGGTTTCAAATCACATGTCTTTGGTTACAGTAAGTAGCCAGTCGTATCACTAGGTCACCAAAGATTATATTAAAGAAGTTGTATCAGTATAGAATGTATTTTAAACTATGAACCACTCTTGAGATATATAGAGTAGATTACATATTTACACACACACACACACACACACACACGTATGAAAACAGGAACTGGGAAAGGACGCTAGTCTACCTTAAGATCAGTAGGTAAGGAACTAAAGACCTACCTTCTGAGCCTATAGAGGAAAAAGCCTTTTAGTACAGCTGATGTCCTAAATTGGGTTTCTATCTTTCTACATGACAAGAAAATACATTTCTTTCTGCTAGAACCACTCACTTGTTATGTTTCTGTTATAGCAGCACTAAAAACAAATTCTGAGTAACATTTTGAAAAGAGATAATGACACATAGTAGCCTCTTGAAAAATTTTCTTTTTATTTTACTAATAGTGATTAAATGTAAATGTTAGGAAAAACTGGAGTTTTGTTAAACAGAAGACGTTTTCCATTCTGTTATTTATTGTTACAATTAAGATGTAACAAAAATCTATTACATTGTTGTACACCAGTGAGTCAAGGCCAACTCATAGCTAAACTTCAAGTGGGTTTTCAGAGGCGATAATTTGTACAGGAGTTGATTATTCATCCTTCTTCCACAGAGCAGCTGATGGATTCAAAACATACACCTTTAGGTTCACAGTGCAGTTCCTTACCACTAGGCCACCAGAGTTCCCCTCAAAAAGCTATAAACTTACATAAAATATTAATAGTTCAGTGTGATTGTGGTTGTGGAATTTAGTGTTTGCATGTGGAATTTAGTGGTTAGTTTGTGGACTCTTATGCTGATGAGGCTTCCAAGGACTTTCCTAGAAACCTCTGGACAAATATAATTTTTTTCCCCCCAGTAATTGTAATTTGAAATGTATGGTTTTTTTTAAAAAAATTTATTTTATACTGGTTGATTTACAAAGTTTGTATACATTGTTCTTTACAGTGGATCTTTCTAGTTTCCTTCTCTCTCCTCCACCCATCAAAATGTGTGACACTATGATTAACATCCCCCCCGCATTCCTCATCCATCATCCCTGTTCTGTTCCCCCCCCCTTGGATCCTCATACTCCTTCTACAATAATGGTGTCATAAAGTATTTCTACTTAATGGAACTGAGTTATTTCATTTAACATAATGCTCTCCTTTCTCTCCCAAGTTAGGTAGTAATTTACAAAATCATTGCTCCTGTGTGCTGCATAGTATTCCATTAAGTGAATATACCATAATTTTTCAATCCATTCAATTGTATTTCGACATTTGGACTGTTTGCAGTTCTTGCTATGGTGAATAACACTACTATAAATATTGGTGTACAAGACTCTGTTTAAGCTTCAGTTCTCATTCTCTCAGGGTTTATTCCAAGCTATGTCCAGTTTTTTGAGGAAGCACCAAACTGCCTTCCAAAGTGGTTATTCCATTTTACCAGTCCCACCAGCAATGTATAAAAGTTCCTATCACTCCACATCCTTTCCAACATTTATTACTTGCTGTCCTGTTAAACTTTGCCACTATTACTGGAGTATCTCATTGTGATTTTATTTTCATCTCTCCTATTGCCAGTGATTTTGAGCATTTCTTCATGTGTCTGTTGACCATACGAGTATCTTCCTCTGTGAAAAGTCTTTTCATGTCCTGTGCTTGTTTTGTAATTGTTCTATCAGTCTTTTTCTTGTGGAGGCCCTATAGTATTCTGTAATGTTTTGATGTGAGACCCTTATCTGAGATGGTATTGCCAATTTTTTTCTCTCAGTCAGTAGGTTTTCTTTTCACTCTGGTGGAAAATGTTTTTGATGTGCACAGGGATTTAATCTTTAGCAGGTCCCATTTATCAATGTTATCCTCTCCAGATTGTGCATTTTTGGCTGTATTTGGCAGTCTCTTTATACCATAGACTAGGCCATCTACGCTCGATCCCAGTTTGTCTCTGATGAGCTCACTTGTTTGGGCCTTTACTTACAGGTCTCTGATCCACCTTGAGTTGAATTTTTGTGTATGGTGTGAGATGTGGATCCTGTTTCAGTTTCTGCAGGTTTCAGTCTAGTTTTGCCAGTACCACTTGTTGAAGAGGTTGTCATTTCCCCATTTAATAGGTTTTATTCCTTGTCAGATATCAGTTGACCATAGATGTTGCTGTTGTTATATGCTTTCGAGTCTTTTGCAATTTATAGTGACCCTATATACAAGAGCCCTAAATCCTGCTCTATCCTGTGCCAACCTCACTGTTTCTGAATCACCTACTCCCATTACCCCAAACACTGAATCTATCCATCTTATCGAGAGTCTTCCTCTCCTGCACTGTCCCTCTACCCTCCCAAACATGATGTCCCTCTCTTAGGACTGGTCCATCCTTGTGACATGCCCAAAGTGTGTCAGATGAAGCTTCAGAATCTAGTATGTCAGATGAAGCTTCAGAATCCTTGCCTTCAAGGAGCAGCCCACTTTCACCCTCTCCAGGACAAACCTGTTTGTTCTCCTAGCAGTACATAGTATATTCAACATTCTTCTCCAGCACCACAGCTCAAAGGCATCAATTCTCTTTCTATTGTACAGCTCTCTGATGCATAACACACAATTATGAAGACTATGGCCTGGATCAGATACACCTTAGTCTCCAGCCTGACATCATTGCTCAGCCTGACATCATTGCTCTTCACTACTCTGGAGAGGTCCTTGACAGCTGACTTTCCCAGTGCAATTCATCTCTTGATTTCCTGGCTGCTGGTACTGAGAATATTGATTATGGAGCCAGCCATAGATAGCTGCATCTATTTCTCTTCAATTAGTCTATATGCCTGCCATTGTACCAGTACTGTGCTGTTTTGATTACTAATGCTGTGTAGTAGGTTTGGAGGTCAGAGTGTGCTATGCCTCTCATTTAATTTTTATTTTTCAGAAGTGCTTTGCTTACTCTCCAAATACTTGATGATTTACCTTTCAATCTCCTTGAAAAATCAATCAGTACTTGTATTGAAATTGCATTGAACATGTAGATTACTTTTGGTAGAATTTGTCATTTTCACAATATTGGGTCTATTGGTCTACTAACAGCTTTTTGGTGAGTCGTGGGTTTTTCTGTGTACACTATCATATCATCTACATATAGTGATAGTTTAACTATCTCTTTGCTGACCTAGAGCCTTTTATTTTCTTATTACTCTAGGAAATACTTCTAATGCAATATTGAATAGAAGTGGTAACAGTGGCATCCTTGTCTGGTTCCTGTTCACAAAGAAAATGCTTTTAATCTTTCTCCCTTGAGAATGATACTAGCTTTGGTTTTGCATATATATACTTTTCGCTATGTTGAAGAAATTCCCTTCTATTCCAGTTTTGCCGAGTGTCTTTATCAGGAAGGGCTGTTGGATTTTGTCAAGTGCCTTTTTTGCATCAATTGCTAAGATCATATGGTTCTTGTTATTTACTTTTGTTAATATGGTGAATTAAATTGATTGTTTTTCTTATTCTTGCATACCTGTTTGAATCCCACTTGTTCATGATTAATTACTATTTGATGTACTTTTGGATTCTATTGCCTAGGATTTTGTTAAGGATTTTTGGATCTGTATTCATGAGAGATATTGTTCTGTAGTTTTCTTTCTTGGTATTATCTTTGCCAGGTTTTGGTATTAGGGTTATGGTTTCATAACCAGTCTTCATAGAATGACTCTCGGAGTGTTTCATCTTTTTCCAATTTTTCAGATAATTTAAGTAGAATTAGAGATAGACCCTCTCTGCATGTTTGGTAGAATTCAGCTGCGAAGCCATCTGGTCCAAGAATTTTCTTATGGGGAAGTCTTTTCATGACTTGTTCAATTTCTTCTTTTGTAATGTTTAAATGTTCTGTATCTATCTTTGTCAGTCTGGGTAGGACTTGAGTTTCAAGGAATTTATCCATTTCCTCTAGGTTTTCTAATATATCAGAGTAGAGCTTTTCATAGTATGCCAATATTGTCGATTTAATTTCATCTGGTTCTGTTGTAATGCCACCTCTATAATTTCTTCTTTGAGTTATCTGTGTTATCTTCCCCCACTCCCTTTTTGTTAAGTTTAGCAATGGTTTGTCAATTTTATCAACTCGTTTACAAAACCAGCTCATGGTCTTATTGATGGTTTCAATTATTTTTCTGTTTTCTATCTCATTGATTTCAGCTCTTGTCCTTAAAATTTCTTTTCTTCTAGAGGATGTAGGAATAGATCGTTTTCCTTTTTCTGTTTGATGAAGGTATTGAGTTTGATCGTTGATTTTTCTTCTTCGTTCCTTTTTTTATATATGTGCCTATTGGTATGTCCTTGAGGGCTACCTTAGCTGTATCCCAAAGGTTTTGGTGTATTTTTATTTTTTTGTTTTGTTTAAGAAACTGTTTTATGACTGATATCAGGGTTCGGGTAAGACTGAGAAAA